GGGATATCAGTTGGCGGCGCGGACGAGGGGGTGGAGGGAGTGGGAAAGGCTTCATAGAAGGAGGCTGCTTCTTAGACGGCGCCTGCCTTACATCTGTAGATCTATAGGTAAGGCCCGCGCCTTCTGAGAAGCAGGGGTGCGTCTAAGAAGCCCTCCGCCCTCCCAAACCCCCCTCTGTCGAATTCGCAAACCCCCCAAACCCCCCAACCCGTGGCTGAGGGATATCAAATGTCGACATTCGCTCTCGGGGGGGGTTGTTGTGCCCTCCCTGGCGACCCGAGGGCCTGGCGAGGGGGGTGCAGGGTCGCCGGCTTCCGTGGGGGCCCGTTGGAAGCCCTCGAGGGTCCCTGCACGCCCCTGAGAGATAAGAAACGACGAATCGAAACGTGTTTCTCCACGGGCACCAACCTCTCCAGAACTACTGGAAAGCAGCAGGGCACTCGCTGTGCTGGCCTGCTGGCCCCAGGGCGTTGTCAGCGCCACTGGAGCATTGTGGCTGATGTTGGCGCCCCATGGTGGCCGATGTTGGCGCTTACTGACGGCGAGGGTGCGCCAGGAGGGAGCTTTGTAGGGCGATGCTTCGTCTGCGGGCCGTGGGCTCTTGGGTGGCGTCGCCAGCTTCCCCGCCCTCCCTGGTGGGTCTGGTGCGTTGGCCCGTGGGGTCTCGAGGCCACGGTAGGCTCTTTCCAACGCTCCTGGCCGGCCGCACTGAGTGCATTGCCTATTTGTCTGAGCGGGGGCTCTGGACCACCTCAGGAAGGAGGCAACCCACCACAGTCTTCCTCCTCCGCTTCCTCCTCCTCCTCCTCCATCATCAGCATCAGCATCATCATCATCATCAGCATCAGCATCAGCATCAGCATCAGCATCATCATCATCATCATCGTCGTCATCATCATCATCCTCCTCCTCCTCCTCCTCATCCTCCTCCTCCACCTCCTCCTCATCCTCATCATCCTCATCATCCTCATCATCTCATCATCCTCATCATCATCATCATCATCATCATCCTCATCATCCTCTCCTCATCCTCATCCTCATCTCATCCTCATCCTCATCATCATCATCCTCATCATCATCATCATCATCATCATCATCATCATCATCATCATCATTCATCATCATCATCATCACCATCACCATCACCACCACCACCACCATCATCATCATCATCATCATCATCATCATCATCATCATCATCATCATCATCATCATCATCAGCAGCAGCAGCAGCAGCAGCAGCAGCAGCAGCATCATCATCATCATCATCATCATCATCATCATCATCATCATCATCTCTGCCTCCTCCTCCTCTTCCTCCTCATCCTCCTCCCCACGTTCCTCCCCCCCTCTCTCTCTCCCACTCCTCTGTTTCTCTCGTTCTCGCTCTCTCTCTCTCTCTTTCTCTCTCCTTCTCCCCTCCCCGCTCCCCCCGCCTTTTCCTCCACCTCCTCCTCCTTCTCCTCCTCCTCCGCATGTTCCTCCCCCCTCTCCCTCCCCCCTTTGTTCGCTCTCTCTCTCTCTCTCTATGTATATATCCTCCTTCTCGACGTCCTCCCTCTCGTCGTCGTCCTCCTCCTCCTCCTCCCGCCACGCTGCGCACGTTGGGGCGTTTTCGCCGCCGTTCCCCTTCTGTCGGCCCGCACGGTTGCCGTGCGATGCCGCGCGGCGGGGCGCCCTGGAGAAGGTGAGGGAAAAAGGGGTTGGCCAACAGACAAACATCAAACATGCCGAGGGGCCCGAGAGAGGAGAAGGGGGAAGGAGGGCGGAAACGGAGTCGGATGAGGGATGGCGCTGATATTGGTATGATCAAGCCTCTGACAGGGTCAGGATCATGATGATGATAATAATGATGATGCAAGTGTTGATGATGATTACGCGGCTGCTGCTGATGATGATGATTATGATGACAATGCTGGTAATGATGATGAGGAGAATGATTGTATACACTTCTCGACTTGTGCGTGTCATCCTTGCGCAAGGGCCATGCTAATCTTCTCTGTATCGTTCCAGTTTTAACGGATGACCCCCGAAGGGAATCCATGATGAGGAGGAGAATGATGATGACGATGGCGGTGATGGTGATGATGACGATGATGGTGACTGATGGTCTGAGGAGGCATCGGCCAATATATCCTGGGACGCACATCCACGCTCAGGGCCGAGCGGAACCCAGCGCAGAGTCCACGCGCCCACGCGGCGCGCGCAATCCCTGGCGGGTGGCCCCGCCCCCCAGTCCGCGGACGGGAAAGGCAGCGGGACCCCAACGTCACCGCCAGAGAACCGAGGCCGGAGAGCGGACGCGGGGGCCCGGTTCGTGCCCGCAGCGCGCCTTCGCTGCCCAAGGCACCGAGGCGCGCCATGGCAGTGTGGCGACGGGGTCATGCCGCCGAGCGGGAAGCGCTGCAAGTTGGCAGAACCTTTGCAGCGGCGAGGTGGGATTTCAGACATGTTGTGTCATGCTGTTGTTATGTTACGTTGTCTGTCCCGTCGCGCCCCTGGCCGCGTCGAATCCGTATCGAATCCATGTCGGACTCGTCGAACCCACGTCGAATCCACGACGAACCTGCGTCGAATCCACGCCAGGTCCGCGTCGAGTCACCAGCGAGCCCACGTCGGGGACAGATGCCCTCGAAAACGTCCCGTACTCGGTCGGAGGTGTGCTGGTCCGCCTTGGAGGTATCTTCGGTCGTCTTGGGGCCACCTTGGGGCGTCCGAGGCGGCTCCAGGTCCTCGGGAGCTCCAGCTGGACCCTCGGCGCATCAGTCGCCAGTCGAGGGCCTGGCCATGGGGGCCCCAGACCCAATGACGAGGCCGCCCGACGATGCAGCGCGAGTTATGGACGCAGCAGCATGAGGTCGGGCATGTCCTCCTCCAGGCAGTCCAGGCAGAGGACGAAAATCAGCAATAGTCAATACATCTTCAAGAATCCCGAAGAATTAGTCTGAAGAATCGTCCCCTGAGTATTTGTTTAACCATTTTTGAATATTTCTCCTTTAGAGGGACGTGCCCGACTTAACAGCAGCAGCGAACAAACCTGAGCAGTCTCTCAGGGGGGAGGGCTCCGGGTGAAATCCACATGGGCTTGTCCACCCCGAAAATCAATCCGTCTTGTGCTTCACCTCGGGAACCAATCGAAACGGCACCAAAAGAAGCTGCTCGGCAAACGCCGGCCACGTACGGTGCGGGCGAGGCCGCGCTCGGCGGCAGCCCGGCGGCGTGCGCCTGCGCGTGCCGCTGCCCTGCGGGCGCGGCGGCGGGCGGCCACGCAGGCGGCTGCGCGCCAGCTGCACTGCGTGGCTCCTGCCGCGCTCGAGCGGCGGAAAGGAAGGGGTCTTCTTGCAGCGGAGGCCAGTCCACGAGGGACCTCCAAGGAGGATTCGGCCCTGGGACCCCAAGACGCCCCTGGGTTTCTCGTGCGGGAACGCCGCGCTTCCCATAGCGAAACCTTCGGAACCCAAGAAACCCGGGGCACCCTGGAGGCAAGGAGGAGGAGGAGGAGGAGGAGGAGGAGGAGGAGGAGGAGGAGGAGGAGGAGGAGGAGGAGGAGGAGAGGGAGGAGGAGGAGGAGGAGAGGGAGGAGGAGGAGAGGAGGAGAGGAGGAGGAGGAGGAGGAGGAGGAGGAGGAGGAGGAGAGGAGGAGGGGTGCTTCTTGGCCTGGGCCCCCCCACTGCACGCGAGGTGGCACGGGCACCTCGCGAGGCGGCCTGCGCGGGCCGCCAGCGCGGCACGCCCCGCTGGCACCCAGGGTGCGCGCGCGCGCGACCTTGCGTGGGCACCCTGCGCGACAGCGTCAGCGAAGCCGAGCCCACTCTCTTGCGCCGCTCGCTCGTGGGCGAGTCGGCCCCCGCACGAGCCACCCACAGAGTAGACGTCTCTTGGGCTCGGGCCACGCTGTCGCTGCGCTCGCCACGGCAAGACACGCGGCCCTGCAGCGCTCCTCGTCGAGGCCAACAGCCACAGCCAGCTCGCAAACAAACCTGGCTGCCGCGGGCCGCAGTGGCCGTGCGCATCCCGCGAATGCCCTCGGCTGCGTGGCCCTTCGGACGGCCGAAGCTCCTGCGCCTCCTCGGCCGACACCTCCAGAAAGGAGCGACGCGCAGCGGAGCGGAGTGGACCGACAAACACGTCCTGGAGGACGGCCCCCGTGGGAGCGCGGCGGCAGGGCGGTCGCCCTCTGATAGCGATGAAGATGCCATTCGACGATGTTGGTCAAATAACGTGCGTGTGAGCTTCTCTGGCTCGTTTTGACATACGATGGGGTCCTTCCCAAATAAAAATGGAATCACTGGAAGCTCAATGCTCCTTCCAGGTATGCGAAACATCGTTTGCGTCAAGAGAAAGAGCCACGCCCAAACGAAATAAGCCCAGACGGAAACCGCACACGCCGTGTGGACTTACTCCGTACGGGCTTACCTGAGCATCCCATCAGGAGATGCCAAGTCCAGACAGAGTAAGCCCAGACGGAGACCGAGCACTCCGTAGGAAATGATCCCGTACGAACTCATTATCAACCCGTATAGTAAGGATACGCGGTAAGGATGCAGGGGCCTTAGAAGGTCATGTCGACACGTTGCGGGCGGGGCGCGACCAGCGAAAACGGCCAAAGATGGTTTACGTAGGAGGCAGTGGCCGGAGACGGGAGTGATGGGCCTGTTTTCCACCACCACCACCACCACCATATTGTGGAGGGGGAGGGGGTTCTCCTCCTCCTCCTCTTACTCCTCCTCTTCGTCCTCCTGCTCCTCGTCCTCCACCTCCTTCCCTCCCTCCAGCTTATGCTGGTGGTGGTGGAAAGCAGGCCCATCAGGGGAGGGCGCGGAGGAGAAACCCTGCAGGCACAGCTCCTCAACTCGGGCACTGGCGGGCAGCGCCCCCGCCACCGCTCAGGCCCGCCCGGGCCGCCGCTCCTTCGGCAGCGGCCCTCGTCGTCGTCGTCGTCGTCGTCGTCGTCGTCGTCGTCGTCGTCGTCGTCGTCGGCCTCGTCGTCGTCGGCATCCTCGTCGTCGTCGTCGTGGGGCGGCCGTGAAGGAACAGGCGCAGGGGGCGACCCAGCAGCAGGCCGCGGGGGCCGACCAGGTGGCCGAGAGGCACGGGTGTGGACTCATGGTGGGACTGTTTTCCACCACCATCACCACCAGAAGTTGGAGGGAGGAAGAAAGTGGAGGACGAGGAGGAGGAGGAGGAGGACGAAGAGGACGAGGAGGAGGAGGAGGAGGAAGAAAAGGAAAAGGAAGAGGTGGAGGAGGAGGAGGAGGAGGAGGAGGACCCCCTCCCCCTCCAACTTCTGGTTGTGGTGGTGGCGGAAAACAGGCCCATCATATCACAGCAGGCTGCCGTCGAGGTAGGCCGCCAGCGCGCCGCGGCCAGCGCGGTTCGCCTCGTAGAGGCGCGCATACGCGTCCCAGGCGTCCTCACGGAACGCGCCGCCGTCTTCATCCTCGTCGTTCTCGTCGCCGCCGCCGTTGTCGCCGCCGTCGCCGTCGCTGTTGTCGCCGCCATCGCCGTCGTCGTTGTCGCCACCGTCGCCGACGGCGGCGACGACGACGGCGGGGACAATGACGACGGCGACGGCGAGGACGAGGACGGCAACGGCGGTGGCAGCGAAGCTGGCGACGACGACGCCGCCAGCGACGGCAACGAGTACGAGCACGAAGACGATGAGAACGAAGGCAAGAGCGAGGACCCAAAACGTAGACAGACCGACCGACGACAACGTCGACGACGGAGACAATGGCGGCGAAGATGGGACGGCTTATGCCGCTTGTTCGCCCCGGGCGTCCATGATCTCTGGCAGCTCGTGCCGGGACCGTGCTGGCACTGCCCCACCGAAGGGCCACCAGGGGGAAGGGGGGAACTGGGGCTGGAGGAGGGCGACAGAAGGAAAGGGAGGCGGAAGAGGGAAGGGAAGGGATGGATCGGGATTTTGGAGCGATATTGGTCCCTTCCTGGGAGGAGAAAGAGGAGGAGCAGGAGGAGGAGGAGGAGGAGGAGGAGGAAGAGTGGGAGGGAGACCGATGAGGATGGACCTGCTCTCGGGGAGGCATGGGGGATGACGGAGGCGGCGAGGGCGATGGCTTCCAGTGGGGCAGGGCCAGCAGGGCGCTGTGATGGGCGCAGCAGGGGGTGGTCCAGCAGCATCTGGAGCGTCAGGGTGGCCTCCCCACGGCGAGCCGGACCACCCGCTCGTCGTCGTCGCCGTCGTCGTCCTCATCTTCCCTACCCGCTCTTCGTCCTCTTCCTCGTCCTCGCTGCTTGTTCTCCTCGTCGTCGTCGTCCTCCTCCTCCTCCTCCTCGTCTTCCTCCTCCTCCTTCCCCGTCTCTTCCTTAAGCGGGGCTCCTCCTCCTCCAACTCGTCGTCCAGCCCCGTCCGCCTCTTCCTCTACCTTCTCGGTCGGTCGGTCGGCGCGCAGGAGGATCGATGCGAAGACGAGGAAGAGAGGAGAGACGCACGATGGGTGAAGGGCAGAGCAGCGGCAGCAGCATCAGCCGAACCACGAGCGCACGCAATGCCAAGTGCAAAACACTTCTCTGCCACAGCAGGATCCTGCACACCTGGGGATACACTGTGGTACTATCACTCGCAACGAATAGGAACGAGGAAAATAACAAGAACTTGCGCTACAAGGCACGCATAGACCTTCCCACCACAGCCTCCTCCCTGCCTCGTTCCGTCTCGTGTTCCTCGTCCTCGTCCTCGTCGACGCTCAGAAGTATAATATAATATAATCGAATCCTCCTCATCTTCTCGCCACATCTTTTCCTTATCAGCAACGGATAATATGTCGCAGCCCCACGCGTGTTGGTAGTGCGGGCCGGGTATTTTGCCTGAGACTTCTTCACCACTGATGGTCATGAAGCTTGAACTTTGCAGCAGCTTCAAGTATGGGGGGCGGCCCATGTTCAAAATGTGGCTCTCACCTAGCGCAGCGCGCATTCGTCTCAAAAGATCGCAACTGATTCCAGCATTGATGGCGGGTCGTTTTGAAAATGTGGCTCTCGCTTCAGCGCCGCGCAGTCAGACCCTGCAGTTTTCGACTTATGTGAGCTGCGTCTTGGTATGCTCGCAGTAGTTCTCCATGGTCTGCTTGTTGCGGTCGGTCTCCCTGGCCTGCTGGTGAAGTGGCATGCTGCTGATAATCGACGCTGTGATGAAGGCGATCTGAAATCATGTGTCTATAGTCGGTAGGCCAGAGGTGCTGGCCTTCCTGATCGCGGCTGCTGGCCGACCTTGTTCAGCTGTCTTGGCTTGCATCCACTCCTCTTTGAATGCTGGATCGATGGGTGGCGCTTCCCAAACGTGCCTTCTGGTGGCGTATATCTTGCGCACGGGCATGGCGTGGTTGATGAGGCTGTTGAGGTGGTCGTTGAAGTCCTGTTTGTATTCCCTCTGCTTCTTCTTGGCTGCGGTCGCCTCCTCTTGCGCGGGTTGATGTTTGCCATTGCCCTCATTGTTCTTGTTCTTGCCCTTCTGCGGGTGGTCGGTATCCTCGGTGCAGTCGTCACACGGCTCCGGGAAGCTGCCCCTGCCTTTGCCGTTGGTGCCCTGGGTGTTTTTGCCAGCGCCTTTGCTCCACTAGGGGTCGGGGTGTTGGGCTGCCCCTTGTGCGGCCCGTTTGTCGCCCATCCACCATGCAATCTCTGCGAAGATCGCGGGTTCAATTGGGCGCGTTGGTGGTCCCCTGACTGGCGTACGGCTCGAAATTGGTCTGCACGTCGCTGACGTGCTCGAGGACCTGCTCGCAGATGATCCCCATGATGCCGCAATTGTAGGAACGTGTTGTGAACGTCGCGGTGGCTGAAGTGCACCGTGGTGTGTTCCAACAAGTTTTTGAGCGCATGTGTGCTGGTCCGTCGCATGCTGATCGGATAACTTCCGTGCTGGTACAACTCGTACTAATACGCGTACTCGTCGTTCTCGTTCTCGTCGGTACCAAACTTGGTTGGCGGTTGATGGAACCGTGGTAGTGCTGACGTCACCTATGTGATGGATGGCGGCGTCATCTGAAAAACAGAGAATAAGAATTGGTCAAAACGGAATGTAATGGGTAAGGGTGAACGGAGATGTCAAGGTGAGGCTTGGGTGGTTCAACTATTCGACCGAGGCTGGCCCCCCGAGGGCTACCGCACCTGCCACGGGATTGGTCAACCGTGGCTTGCTTCTGTTTCTCCTCCTCCTCCAACTCCTCCTCCGCGTTCTCCTCCTCCTCCTCCCCCTCCTGCTCTTGTTTTTGCTGCTCCTCCTCCTCCTTTTCCTCCTCGTCGTCCTCCTCTGCCTCCTCCGCCTCCTCCGCCTCCTCTTCCTCCTGGCCCTCTTTCCCCCCCTTCCTGCTCTTCGTCCGCCTCCTCGTCCTTCTCCCCCTCGTCTTCCTCCCCCCTTCCCCTCCTCCCACGGGCGGGCCGCGGCCTCGCCCGGCCGCCGGTCCAGGAAGCCCCTGCCGCGGAGAGGCCCCTCGGGCCTCCTGCCAAGACCGCGCTCGGCCCTCCAGCGCTCCTGGCGAGGGTGGCCTCTCCAGCCCATCGTCCTCCACCTCCTCTTCTTCCTCGTCGTCCTTTCCCCCCGTTCCTCCTCCTCCACCTCCTCTTCTTCCTCCTCCTCCTCCTCCTCCTCCATCTCCTCCTTCATCTCCTCCTCCTCATCCTCCTCCTCCATGATTCCCTCCTCCTCTCCACCCTCGTCTTTCTCCTCCTATTCTCCTCCTCCTCCTCCTCCTCCTCCTCCCCCTCCTCCCCCCTCCTCCATCATCATCATCATCATCATCATCATCATCATCATCATCATCATCATCATCTCATCATCATCATCATCATCATCATCGTCGTCGTCGTCGTCGTCGTCATCATCCTCATCCTCATCTCTCATCCTCATCCTCATCCTCATCCTCATCCTCATCCTCATCCTCATCCTCATCCTCATCCTCATCCTCATCCTCATCCTCATCCTCATCATCATCATCATCATCATCATCATCATCATCATCCACCTCCTCATCATCAGCATCATCGTCATCATCAGCATCATCAGCATGATCAGCATCATCAGCATCAGCATCAGCATCATCATCATCAATATCCTCCTCATCACCAACATCATCATCATCATGATGAGCATCATCAGCAACATCAGCATCAGTATCATCGGCATCATCATCAGCATAGTCATCAGTAGTATCAGCATCCTCATCCTCATCAGCATCATCGTTATCATTACCAACATCATCACCAGCATCATGATCATGATCAACATCATCATCATCATCATCATCATCATCATCAGCACAATCATCATCATCATCATCATCATCATCATCATCATCATCATCATCATCATCATCATCATCAACAACATCACAAACATCACCATCATCATCATCATGCTGATACGCATGCTCCTACTCATTATCCTACTCCAGATCCTGCACCCGTACCCCCCTCTTCATACTCCCTTCTTGCCTCCTCTCCTCTCTTCTCCTCTCCTGCCTGCGTCTCGCTTCTCGTTGTTCCTGCAAGGCTCCTCCTGGCCTCACTCCCTTTCCCGTTGTAAACGACTCCTCCCTGTCGAACTCCCAGGCGCGTCCGTAGGCCAGGCAGGGAGCTTCGCATAAGAATTCATCGCCGTGTGTGACCCTGAAGCTTGAACGTTGCAACAATTTCACAGATCGAGGGCGGCCCGTGTTCAATATGTAGCTCTCCCCTGAGCGAAGCGCACACTCGTCTCAAAAAAAATGCAACAAGTTCAAGGATGGAGGCTGGGCCGTTTTCGAAATGTGGCTCTCGCCTTAGCGCCGTGCACGCTCGGCTCCAAGCGCCTGCAGCAGCTTCAAGGATGGAGGGCGGTTCCTTTTCAAAGCGTGGCTCGCCTTGACGCCGGGCATATATATAGTCGTTCCTTCAAAAGTTTCCAGCAGTTCCGAGGGTTTCTCAAAATTGAGCCCCTGACTCGATTGGGGAGGAGGAGGAGGAAGAGGAGAGGGAGGAGGAGGAGGAGGAGGAAGAGGAGGAGAAGGAGGAGAAGGATAAGGAAGAGGAGGCCAGGACGCAGCAATCACGTTGATCCGTGGTGCTGACGTCCCAGGAATGGCGGCCTGGCACCGTGGACCACTGTCAGGACGCAACCGCTGCCCTGATTCGCGGCGTTCGCATGCCAGGGATCCCACCAGCCCTGCAGGGCGTGAGCGATTTCGGGCGCACCCTCTGCAAGCTCTCCAAACCTCCGTTGCTACCCCTCGGGGAGGGGTTGAGCACTGTTCCTTGTAGGCGTACCCTTCCACCAGGCGACCGGGAGCCAAACAGGAACAATGACAACACCCCCCCACAAACCATGTCAAAAAGCATTAGACCTTGTTTGTGGGGCAAATCGTGGGTCAAGTCCGTGGGCTCCGCAAGCACATCGCACTGTTCAACAAGAACGGCCGGGTTGTCATCAGATTGCCTGTTGTCCGCAAGGCCGCCACCCCGGTCCATAACAATGAAGTACACTTCGCGGCCAAATCTGGATCGTGCGATGCAACTCGGCGATCTTTTTCCATTTGCTGTTGACAAGAAAGGCGGGGGTGCTGGCACATTGCAGGTTTTGCGAAGGCCCACCAAGCACCATGATTTCATCCTCGCCGCGATGGCGCATTGGTTTTAGACAAGGATGGTGGGGGCCGACATGTTTCCCGAAGCGTGCTGCCATGTGCGCGGGCGCACCTGGCACACTCTGGCGCACCTGGCGCGGCTGGACCATGCGGCACACATGGTGCTCGTGGAGAACGCGGCGCAGCTGGCGCGCCAGGCGTGCATGGCACGTTTGGGCCATGGCGCACCTGGCGCGCCTGGCACGCGTGGCGCACCTTGCCCCAGCGTCGCGCACTTCTGGCTTGCTTTGGTCTCCAGTAGCTGGCCATCCATGGACGACCGCTGAACATGCTAAGCGAGACAGCTTGCGGGCGGGGAGGGTCTCTTGACGCCTCCCCCTACCCCTGACACCAGACCTGGACGGGGACGCCGCGGGTCGTTAGAGCGACCCAGAGAGCCTCGGCGGGAAGGCACAAATAGGTTTGGAGCCCATGTTGGCCTCCCTGGGGCATAGTTGAGTCCCCCCTTCTTTGGTCGGTCTCGTCTGGGGTGGCCCCGGGGTGGCCCCCAGAGCCCCCAAGGGTGCCGAAAGACACGGCCCCAGGGGGGGCCCAAGAGGCGCCCAGGAAGCCCAAGAGGCTCTCGAGAGGTTTCCAAGAAACCCCCAAGGGGCTCTCCCAAGGCACCCAAGGCGCTCCACGAGGCTCCTGGGACCAAGATGCCCCCAAGACGCCCAAGAAACTCTAAAAAACATCCGACGAGACATCCTAGAGGCCTCTGGTCTTTCTGCTCGCCCTCCTCCTCCTCCTGATCCTCCCCCGCCTATTCCTCGTCCTCCCTCATCCCCCATCTCCCTGCCCCTCCTCCTCCCCCTCCTCCTCCTCGGCCTGGTCCATCCTCCCCCTCTTGGGGTACGGCGGCTTCTCGAGCCGTGATTCCACTGCAAGATCCTCCACATCCCTGATCAAGGCAACTCGCCTGGGCATCGTTTCTGGATGGGCTGATGGGGTCACGCGAAACGTCTAGAAGAGTCTTTTGGCACGAGTTCGTATTCTCAAACGGATTCCTTTCAATGGGACACTTCCCGCAATGCAAATACTCTTGTAGTGACATATGAAGAGGGGACTTGAGGGGAGGGTTTATTGCAATGTCGTTGATGCGCCTTGGGTGCACTCTCGTCCTCCTCCTCCTCCCTCTCCTTCTCCTCCTCCTCCTCCTCCTCCTCCTCCTCATCATCATCATCATCATCGTCATCATCGTCATCATCAGCATCAACATCAGCATCAGCATCCTCGTCCCGACATCATTATTCGCATTATCATCATCATCATCATCATCATCATCATCGTCGTCGTCGTCGTCGTCGTCATCATCGTCATCGTCGTCATCCTCATCATCATCAGCATCATCATCATCAGCATCATCAGCAGCATTATCATCATCACCATCATCATCATCACCACCATCACCATCATCATCATCATCAGCAGCAGCAGCTCTAGCATCATCATCATCATCATCATAATCATCATCATCATCATCATCATCATCATCATCATCATCATCATCATCATCATCATCATCATCATCGTCATCATCATCACCATCAGTAGCACTCACACCCTCATCCTCATCCTCATCCTCATCCTCATCCTCATCCGCATCCTCCTCCTCTCCCTCCTCCTCCTCCTCATCATCATCATCACTCTCCTGTCTCGCCTCCTCTCCCTCTCCAAGAAGGCGACGACAGCCGGCGGTCGACGACGGTGACGACGACCGACGACGACGAAAACCCCCGCCGGGAGCGCTGCTTCCCACCCCAGGAGAGGCCGGGGGGGGGACGACGCATGACTCCGCCCTCCCCCTCGCTTCCCCTGCTCTTCGTCGCTTTCCCCCTCCCTCCACCTCCCCCAACAACACCCAGTCCCCCTCCACCTCCCGCGCGCCCCCCACCCCTCCCTCCAGCGAGCCCTCCGGACACGGACGAGACGCCGACAACGTCAAACGCCGGCGCCGCCTTACCTTCGACGAGACGCAACTGACGTGCAACGCCTGGGCGCCCGAAGACTTCTGCAGGACCTCTGGGAGCCATTCAGGAACTGCAGGACAACTCTGCCAAGCCTCCAGGAAGACACCACGGCCAGCATCAGAAAACCCTGCTGGTGCCCATGGGCCATGGAACCTCCTGTCGTTGGTCCAAGGATGGGGTCCTCAGGGATAGGGTCAGGAGAATAGGGATCGGTCGGGCATGTCCTCCGACAGACGGATTTTGGAGGAAAATGTTCAAAACGTCAAACATGTGCAGAACTTATGCAAAACAGTGGGAACATCGTCCCCAGACTAGTGTTTGACCATTTGTAAAGGTTCCCCCTGGAAATGCCCGACTTAAGAGAAGGAAGGGCTCCAAGGGTGGACTTACGATGGGTGAGGCACCTCGTCCTCAGGACCCCATCCTTCAGGACCCGACCTTTGCACCACCGATCCTGGGGCTCCTGGAAGCCTCCGACAACTTCCTTGGAGAACGAGGGGACTGACAAAAGTGAAGCGAGGTGAAGTCCTGTCACGGTGGCCCGCAAGGGGCAGGACCCTACGCGAAACCCTCGGGAGTCGCAGTGCGACATCACCGAAAAAGAAAGGAAATCTGATGTCAGGTCCAACGACCTGCATCCCCCCAAGAAGTTGCTACTCTCCCAGCCCCCGGTCTCTGCAGCACGCCCTCTCGTGCAAGCTGCAGGGGGGCATTCCGCGGACGCGCGCGGAACCACGCTCTGCGTGCACCCAGGGCAGAGCAGTGGAACAACGCCCATCGGAAAGCTATACTTAGGTCGGGCATGTTCCCCTACACAGGTATTTTGGACGAAACATTGACGAAATAGTGAAACAGTATTCCAAAATACTGACAAAATTCTAACAAATTGTCCCCTGACTATTTTTTGACTATTTGGGAATATTCCTCCTCTAGAGGGACAGGCCCGACTTAACGCTGTACCGAACGTATCCAGCGAAACGCGCCTGGATCGGCGAAGCCGACGGTGGACCGCACCGGCAGACTGCGAGCGCCGTGCAGATTGCTCTCAAACGCCTCGCCTGGGGCGTTCTGCGTGTGCCTGGGCATTGGCACAACCACCAACAACGGGGAAGATGCTCCTCGATTCTAGTCCTGGTGGTAATCTCCCGGACGCCTCAGAGACCCGAATAGTATAACCATCACCGATGTCAAGATCATATTCCCTCGGTGGAGGCAACAGCCGATACGCGTTGGTCGGCAGAAGTGGGTAAACACATCAAATAGGAAGAGACGTTGGAAAATACATTGGGCTTCCGCCTGCCCCCTGAAGATGAAGGAACGCGGAAAGCCACTCGACCCTTGACACAGGAAGGCGCCTAAAGCAGACTGGAATCTGGGAATCCAGAGATATCTACTTTCAGCGACCGACGTGTGTTGGTGTGAATGACAACGGTCGGGAGGGAATGGCATAGGGTGGGGATGCATCGACCTGGAATCGGCGATATATCGCCGATAGATCGGCAGTAGGCCTGCCAGCGTGAATCCGCACCTTCCTTGGGCGACTGGGACTATCGGGCCCCTATGGGCGATGAATGGGCGATGGGGTGTCGATGCATCCTCCCCTATGCCTACCCCCCCTATCGTTGTCCCTGATAGTGTTGGTGCCGACGCTCTCGCAGTGCCCGGGGCACGGACGGCGATCCTCCAGCGCGCCCTCCTGGCCCTCGTCGGCCGAGCCCTCCGTGTTCGGCAGCACCACGGGCTCCGGAATCCCAGGCCACGCGGGCCCCTCCCACCAGAGGCGGTAGTCCTCCCCGTCGTTGAACTCGTCGATCCTCTCAGGGAGGTCGTCGTCGTCGTCGTCGTCGTCGTGGTCGTCATAGTCGTCATAGTCGTCATAGTCGTCATAGTCGTCGTCGTTCGCCTTGTCGTCCTCGTGATGTGGCCACCGTCGTTGTCGGCCTCGTCGAAGTCGTGGTGGTTGTCGTTGGTCGCCCTCCGCCCCCATCTCCTCCCCTCTTCCCTCCTCCACCCCCCTCCCTCTGTGACTCCCCCGCCGGTGGAGGTGAAGAGGACACAGACGAGGAGGCCCTCCTCTTTCCTGCCCCCCCTCCTCCTTTTTGTTGTCGCCTCCTCCCCCTTCCCCTCCCCACGCCTCCTCCACGATCCACCTTCCCCCTCCCCATCTCCTCCTGCATCCCACAAGAGCTGATTACGCGGCTCGCCCCCAACACCCCCTGCACTCCGTCGATTGTGCAGCCCTCCTCGCGATCCTCTGCCTCGATGCTCGATACTGGCGGCAGTGCCATCCAGAGCTCGACGTTGTTTCTCCCCCCTCCTCCTCCTCCTCCACCTTCTCCTCCTTCTCCTCCTTCTCCTCCTCCACCTCCTCCTCCTCCTCCTCCTCCTCCTGCAACAACGAAGTACCGATGCCGCGAATCTCTGGACCTCTGCTAAGGTGCGTTGTGAGAAGAATTGGAGGCGAATCCAGCCGTGGTGACGAGGGCCTCCCAGGAGGCCCAAAACTGCGAAAACGAGAAAAGGTAAGCGGCATCCGTACCGCATCCTCCGCTGATCCTCCCTGCTCTTCCCTTCCGCCCTTTCCTCCTCCTCCTCCTTCTCCTCCTGCCCCGTTTTCTCCTTTTCGTCCTCCTGCCCCTCCTCCTCCTCCTCCTTCTCCTCCTCCTCCTACTCCTCCTCTGCTCCTCTCCCTTCCTTGGTTGTTGGGTCGTAAGCTGGCTTTCCAGCGGCCGTCCGGGACGATCTGGGCACTCCCAGAAGCCTCTCGGCGAGGCGCAATTGCTGGAAGGCGTCCAAGGGCTGGAAGACCACCGAACACCAGTGAACACGCCCGAACGCCTCGCACCCCGAACCGTTCCTCTTGCTCCTCCTCCTCCTCCTCCTCCTCCTCCTCAGCCGCTAAGCGGCTCAGAATTCAGATCTCCGCGGCTACTGAATGCAAACCAGTACAGTTCAGAGGCTAGCGGCATGTGGACTCACTCGGGGAAGCTCGCCCCGCCCATGACAGAGAGATCAGACGTCCGTGCGAAGTGCTGCCTTCCCGCCGTGAGCTACCTTGCCTTCTAAGCCCTGGGCTTAGCCACTCCGGTCTCGACCTGCTTGGAAACAAACTCGTGCAATAAGTCTGGTCTCTTGACGCCAATCACTCCACCGACGGCTGCACGGGTGTGATGGAGGCGAGCATGGTGGCTTTCAACTCACCCCCGTACTAGCAGAACTCCGTGAACTGGCCGATGCCGTCTTCGATGGGGCCATAATCATCATGATTAGCAGCGCGGTGTGAAGCCTGAGCCGACATGAGTCCCTGCCGACAACAGCTACGCGCAGATGCTGGCGTGGCAGTGGGTCAAACCGCTGCACCTCCACCGCCTGGCTGCTACTGAAACGGGAAAGTGGGGAATTCCACGGATTCTCTCTGGGTCTGCTGTCCGATCATATCGAGGCCCGCATCCTCACCCGGCAACCCGCGCACGCTACGCTGTTAGCTTCGCACAACGAGACAAAACCATATGCGGCAGGACCCACAGCGCCAGGGTACGCTCTTGCGGGAGTCAAAACGTGTCCACCAGCGCTCGACATGCTGGAGAGCTCGAAAGGAAGCTGCCCGCTCGCAATGGGACCTGTTCCCATGTTGACGCAAAATGGCAAAGGACCTCGCTTTCATCGTCCCCGCCCTTTTCCTCCTGCTCCTCCTCCTCCTCCTCTTTCTCCTCCTCCTCCTCCTCCTCCTCGACCTCCTCCCCTTCCTCCTCCTCCTCCTCCTCCTCCTCCTCCTCCTCCTCCTCCTCCTCTTCCTCCTCCTCCTCCTCCTCCCTTTCCTCCTCCTCCTCCACCTCCTCCTCCTCCTCGTCCTCTTGATCCTCCTCTTTATCCTCCTCGTCCTCGTCCTCGTCCTCGTCCTCCTCCTCCTCCTCCCGCCGCCCGCCCGCCGCAGAGGTCCCGGCTCCGACCATCCCGCCGGCGAGCCCCACCGCGCAACGCACGGCCTCGGGCCGCCGTCGCTCGGCCGCCGGCACCGACGGACGCCGGCGGCGACGGCGGCGACGACGGCGACGGCGGGGGCCACGAGGGCGACGTCAGCGACGACGGCGGCGACGACGACGACGATGGCGGGAAGACTACGACGACGGCGACCACGACGACGACGACGGTGACGACGACGACGACGACGGCGACGAGGACGGCGAAAACGAGGGCGATGGCGACGGCGTCGACGACGGCGGGGGCAGATCGGCGGCGGCGCGAAACGATGGCGGCAGGGTGGCGGCCGCGGCGGCCGTGACGACACAGACCACCACCACTCCTCTCCCGAAAGGGTTTCGGGGCCCGACAGCCGTGCGGTGACAGACCGCGTGGTGACTTCGAAATCCCAAACAACCTCACCGCGCGGTCCGTCACCACACGGTCCTGGGACTTCGGAGGCCATGGTTGCCCGAAACGTCCTCGACGACCAGCTGGAGTCCCAAAGCCGCGCGGTGACCCTAGAGGCCGGGTCCGACCACATGGGGGAGGAGGATCGCGCCGCATCGCCGATGCATCGGTGATGCATCGGCGATGCATCGGCGATGCATAGGCGCCATCGGCGTGGAGAAAATCGGGCCCTACATGGACCCGCATCGGCGATGCATCGGCGATGCGGCGCGATCCTCCGACCCCACCTGCTCGAATCCCACATGAAAGGCCTAGAGACACCGAGTCCTTGGAGTACCATGTGGGACCTGCTTTAGAACAGAAGCGCACCGTAGACGGATCTACCCTTTCTCCGACCTTGTTCCCGGATAGCTCCTTGGAGAGCTAAGAAGGCTTTAGATTAGAAGCGGGCAGCACTGGATGGCCCGCAGCTCTGTCCGGCGCCGGTCAAGCAGCGCTGCAGCAACTTGCTTGAGTTCGCAGCGTGTTCCGGCAAGCCGATCACAGGGACAGGCAAAGAAAAGGAGTGGGCGGGCGGGACACGCGGTCCCACCCCTGAGCCCCAAACAGCGGCAGGCAGGCGGCGTGCGCGCGCGAGGGACACGAGGAGGGCCAGCGGGGAGGCTAACTTTGCTTCACCTTCGTGAGTCCGAGCTTGTGGGCCGCTGAAGGTCGGCGGGGGCTGGGCAGGACGGCCAGGGCCATGGCAAGGCCAGGCGACGGCAGGCAGGCCCGGGCACCTACAGCGGCCTCAGAGAAACAGCAGGGGTCTGGTGGTCCGCGCGGGAACTACCAGGCCGGCGTTGGGTCCCCCGCGCCGCCAGGGGTGGTTCCGGAGGCGCCGCCAAAAAGAGGGGTCCAGCGCCGACCCACGTGAGGGGGGTCCAGGCGCGACCACGGGAGGTCCTTGCAGACCTCCACCGAAACTCTACACGTGTTTCGGAAGCTGCTTGTTTTGTTCGCCGTGCCTCAAAAGCCATCGTCGGCGGCGGGCGCGCTCGGGGGGGGGGGGGGGGGGGGCAGAGGAGGCTGGCCTTCTCAGAAGGCGGCGTGGCTTCTCAGAGGACCTCACCCACGCCCCCTCTGCCTTCCCCACCAGGCGCGCCGCCGAGATTGGGGGGAACTGTTTCAGGGGGGCGGCGGGGGGAAACATCACCCTCGACACGGCGATACGTCGCCGATAGATCGGAGATCGGCCCTCGAATTTCGTATAGCGAGGCCGCGCATTCGTGGGCGGGGTGGGCTGTCAGGCCCCAAGCGGCGACCCGTCGGCGAGCGGGGTTCGATGCATCACAGCTGAACCTTGATCCTCCCCCCCTGACGCTGCCCCTGGCCGCCGCGCACATGTCTCCCAGCGTCGTGATGCGCCGCTGGCCCTGCCCCCGCCGCCCCGCCGAAGCAAGGACAAGCAGGCCTGGAGAGGCATCGGCCCTCTCGGAAGCCCGCCCCCCCCCCCCCTCCCCCAAAAGGGAATCCGCGGGTCGAGTGCACTCTCCTCGGCGGAGGGGCCGCTCCTCCCCCCCCCCCCCAGGACCCCTACTGTCTGCACCAAGCCTCCGACGCCCACCCCCCTTCCACTCCACACCGTGGGCGCCGCGAGCCCTGCACCGCACCTTCTCGCGAGGCCGCTGCGGCGCCGGCCGCTCGCTCGCTCTCTCTCTCTCTCTCTCTCTCTCGCTCCCGGCCCTGGGTGGGGGGAGTGGCCCGGGATGGCCCAGACCACATGGGGGCCAGGATTGAGTCGGGCGTGTCCCCCTAAGGGGGATTTTGGGCGAAGAACAAAACATACGCAAAAATACTCTAGCAGTGCTCAGACATTATCAAAATATCGTCCCCGGACTTTTAAACAAACAAAGAAAAATTGGGATATTCCTCCTGCAGAGGGACAGGCCCGACTTAACCCCGGGGGGGAGGGACCCGAGACGGTCCCGACCACATGGGGGCCCCGGATCGGAACGCTGGCGTGACCAGCAGCACCCCAACAGCACTCTTGGCCAGTCGCCGCGCGCACCCTTGGGCGTTGCTCGGTTGGCGGGCAATGAGTGTGGGGGCGGGGGGGAGAGAAACGTGCACACTCCGTGCTCCTTGTGGGCATGAGGGGGCCCCGCTGGGGCACAACAAGTGCACTTGTTTTTCGCCCCTGTGTATCGCACCCGAGCACGCAACGCCCGGCACCCTCCCTCCCCCCCTCCAGAGTGCTTTTGCGCGGCCCACCCAGAGCGGGCGGCGGCGGCGTCGCCGCCGCCAAATCGGCGTCGGGCTTTCCGTCGCCGCGGTCGTCGTCGAAGCCGCCGCCGCTCCTCTGAGCATCGACGGGGCGCGGCAGGGCCACTTGCGCACCGAGGCCCACCCGAGAATACAGTCGGACCTGGCACGGAAGAGCATCCTTCATCCTCCGCCGGCCAAAACACACTGAGAACATCCAAGGGCACCTCCCAGGATGCGAAAGAGCATCCAATAAACACGAATAGCATCAGGGTGCCCTCCCCGAACCGACCTCGGCACGACTGCAGTGCGGGTGCTGGTTCGCCGGCTCGCAGGTCGTGCGCAGAGGAGGGGCATGGCTTACCGCCACCGAGAACCCATCGGTAGAGAACCGACTCCTGGGACTTGGCACGCCCGAGCGTCACCCAGCACGGGACGACGTTCGGGCGTGCCACCTCCCAGGGGTCGGTTGCCTACCGATGGGCACGTTTTTCCTCTGAGTCCGCGCGAGCTTCGTTCTCGGGGCGCGGGCAAGGACGGCGACGACGGCGGCGAAGGTGACGGCGGCGAAGGCGAGACCGGCGGCGGCGGCCACAGCAGCGACGACAGCAGCAACAACGGCGGCGGCGACAACGGCGGGGACGACGGCGACGGCGGCGACAGCGGCGGCGACGGCGGCGGCGGCGAAGGCGACGGCGACGGCGGCAACGTTGGCGTCACAACGGCGACAGCGACGGCGGTGATGACCGCGAGCCTCGTCCCGCGCAGCGGAGCCGGTCCCGGGCACATCGCCGCCAGGAGCGAGGCCAAGCCGGAAGTCCAAAGTGTCCCTCGCGCAGATGGCCTGGGAGGGCGGGGAGAGGGGGGGGGAGCGACGAACAAATCCACACATGCCCTGCAGGCCTGCCTTCCGAGGCCAATTCCATGGACTCGCGAAATCACGGATGCGCTCTGCGCGGCCACAACACCACGGCCTGGGAGTCCAGGCTGCGAGGCTGTGGGCGAACTGACCGCCACTGCTGAGAGTCGAAGAGAGGAGGGCCCTGCGCGACAAGACGCTGGGAAAGAGCGGAGGACGTTGAGAAGGAGCAGGAGGAAGAGGAGGAGGAGGAGGAGGAACAAAAAGGAGGACGAGGAGGACGACGAGGAGTAGGAGGAGAGTGAGAAGGAGGAGGAGGCGGAGGAACAGGAGGAGGAGGAGGAGGAGGAGATGGGAGAGGAGGAGGAAGGGGAGGAGGAGGACGACGAGGGGAAGGACGAGGAGGAGGACGAGGAGGAAACACCCAGGACGACGACGACGGTGAGGAGCCTGGCTCACCAGCGCCTGAAGTCCATTGGAGGCTCCGGCGAGCGCCGGCGGCACGACCACGCCATCCTCTTGGCGCCCGCACAGCAGCTCCATCAGCATGGCCCCGAACATGCTGATCAGCCTAGGTGGGGGGCGGAGAGGAAAAAGGAGGAACAGAGAGGTGGAGGAATACGAAGAAGGAGGAGGAAGCGGAGGAGGAGGAGGAGGAGAAGGAGCAGCAGCAACGCAGGAAGGAGGGGAAGGAAGGCGCGCAGGAGGACGAAGAGAAGGAAGAAGAGGAGGAGGAGGAGGAGGATTGACTGATTGACTGACTAACTGATTGGCTGCCTGACTGACTATGACTTGGATCCAAACGTCTCCTCAACTGCATCTATCCACTCGCTCTTGCAGTGCCAAAAGAAACTCATGCATATTCAATATGAAAATATCGGGGCTAGCCCCCCGCTGCGCAGAGGCGCGCGGGTGCCATTCAGCACTCAGGCGCTGCGCGCACCCCACTGCCGCAACTTGCAGGCTAAGGACGTGCGTGCACTCTGGTACTCTTCCTATGCAGTCGCCGTGCCTTTGCCGCGAACTCGGCTCTTGCCTCTGCCCCGCTATGGAGGCTGAGGGCGAGGGGAGAGAAGACTTGATTTCTATAGGAGACTTGTTTTCTACAAAAAAAATGAAACAGGTTGACTACGAGTTGGAGTGGCGGTAAGAAGGCCAGCTGCCGCAAACTCTCTATATCTCTGGCTATCGCGAAAAGCTGGTGGCGCGGACCGTGGGGCCGCCCCTCGGCCCTGGCTATTCTGACCCAACTGTGGCAACACAGTGTGCGCGCGTGTCTGCAATCTGAGAACTCGTTCACCCACGAGATCGAGATCTGGCTGCTCTCTTTCTTCGCGGGGTAGACGAGGCGGCTCAGCTCCCTCTGCAACGGCCCCCGCAGCGCTGAGCCCAGCTTGCGCTGGCCCCCCTCCTCCTAGATCTCGGTGATCACGATGTCTCCTTCAGAACTCGAGAACCTCCTTCTCCTTCGCTCCCACGAGCGTGGCGAGGCCCTTGACCGTCGCTGCTGCGATCGACAGGCGTGACGGGCCCAACGCCGCCGCGTCGATCTGGCTGTCCACGGCGCGCTTCTCTCTCAACTCTGTGGCGCCCGCGTCGCGCTGTTGGCCAGCTAGACTGGCGAACGTGGGCAGCGGCTTGGATGCGCCCAGCTCCCATCTATCGCGCAGTGGCCTGGGCGCGCTTGGCGATGGTCATCGTCGACATGGTCGTGTCGAGCGCGATCTGCTTCGCTCGGGGCACGCCCTTGCCCCTGCCCGCGCCATCGCCCTTGGACTGTTTGTTCGAGTCGCCCAGGTCCTCCACCGCCGCGAGGGGCCTCTCGCCTGCCCGAGATGGCCCCGCGGCGAGGGCGCCCACCTCCTGCGCGCCTCCGCGCGCCCCCGACTGCCCGCGGATCCTGCTCTCGCAGCGCCAGCCACCTGGACCGGGCGCCGCTGCGCCGGCAGTCTGATGGCTGCCGTGCTGCACGCCTGGCTCCTTAGAGCTCGAAGGGGAGCCGGGGAGATGGAACCTCCGCCTCCTCGCCGCGGCGAGATGCCCGGAAGCCCCCCGCCGCGGCCGGCCTCGGCGCCGCTGGGCGCTGCCGAGGCTGGTCTCCGATCGGGGGTCGGCTCTCGGCAGCCCCGTGGGCCAGAGCGACGGCTGGCGCCTGGCTCTTTGGCCCCCTCAGCCCACGGGGCGCCGGGCTTTTGCTCGCGCCCGCCGCCGGGGCCGCGGGCCAGTGGGGCGTTGCCCGTCCTCCCCCCGAACAGTTCTCATACTCTTGGCGCTGACGTTGAGCCCCCTGGTCGTCGGGGCCTTCCTCGCCTGGTGGCTGTCCATCCAGGCGAGGCGACATGTTGTTATAGTTGATTGGGGGGCGCCGATTCCTGGGAACTCAAATGCTTGCGGGCGGGAACCCATGACCCAAACAAATGGGCGAGAAGCAGCACTGCGAGACACCGGCACTGCCACGAAAATAGCGAGTCAGGGCCGGCACGAGGAGGAAAAGGGCATCATCGCGATGAAAGAGGCGGAGGCCAGAGGTGTCATCACAGTCCAGCATCGGGGGAAACTCGCGTTGCCTGTGAAATCGCGCGCGCAGCAGGGACGAGAAGGAACAGAAAAAAGACGGGACGGGGACGACGAGGCGGAGGAGTCGGCGCCGGCCACCGCCTTTGAGCCAGGGAGCGCGGTGAACATGGCCTGATAGGCGGGCGTCTGCAACGTCTGGGGGGCGCAGGGCGCGCTGGCTGCGCGCCAGCTGCGCAACCTTGCCCCGCCATCTGCTTGTGCGCGCCAGCCTCCCAAGACTGAATGGGCCTCTACATCGACTGCATGGCCGCCTTGCTATCCATGCTGCCTCCGCCGCCTCTGCGTTACCTTGGGCGCGGGCGTAGAAAGCCTTCCTGCTCCGTTTTATCTGCAAAACTTTATCAGATCGGGAGGTCACGAGTCTTGCTTGTCCCAGGGGGCCAAGACCTGCATCATGGAATGCACGAGGGTGGTCGCGTCTCCGTCGCCAGCTGGGTGCTCCGGGTGCTGCTGGGGCGCCGCTGGGCATTCGGCGGGTTCGGCCATCTCCTCACTACCGCAGTCCGTCTCGCAGTCGGCGCTGCTCGGAAAAAGGTTCTCTGGCGTCCATGGGGCGGGCGGGCTTCCTCCGACGTGGTTGGGTGACTTCTTATCGCGCTGCTGGGTGGCCTGCGCTCTCGATGTAGTCGCTGCACCCTCGGGGCGCTGTCACGTTGGCTGCAGCTGCCTGCTGCGGGGCCCCATGCGGTAGAGATGGCACGTTCATCCTCAGACGTTTCCCGGCCCTCCGAATGCTCCTCCACACGTCGTCGCGCAAGTCCTGCAGCTGCTGCTGGTTGGCGACGCGCGCAGCTCGCGCGCGCTGGTCGACGTGGACTTCTGGCCAGATCCATCACGCGCGGGATGCCCCACTCGATCCAATCGGAATCGTCTTCCCGCTATCTGTCAGAGTCATCCAACGTCTGCCGTATCCGTCCAGGTCTACCAGCCGCCAGCCGTCATCGGGCTGGCGCGCATTGCCGTTGCTCCTCTTCTTCGCCGAGGTCGGTCTCTTGATCGCTGCTGGGCCCGAGCCTTTTGGGAAGCGGGGCTGGCTACTGGGTTGGGCTGTGTTTGCTGTGCGTCTAGCTACTGGTCCTCCTGGTCCCCCGTCGCCTCCTGGGCCGCCTTCAGGGGTCGCCCGCTTCGCATGCGGCTGATGACCCAGAGGCCCCCTTGCGTGGGGGGCTGGCGCGGCGCGCAGGGGCTCCTCGCCCTCCTCGCCACAATGCGACTGCATTGGTCTTCTAGGTAACTGGGGCCTCCACAGCGCTCGCACCAGAGCCAGCCCTTCAGGCACTGAGTATAGCTCGAAGATGAGGCGCGTGCCGATTCTGATGGCGGTCAGGTTCAGGTAAGGTTACCGTGCTCGTCCCTGTGGAGGCCCACTGCCATTGGGTACCGGCCAGAGTCTAGAAGCCACTCGTGTACACTTTGTCCTGCTACTGGCCTTGAGCCGCAACTGGTGCATCACCATATGGGATACAGCTTTTGGAGCACATGTCCTTGTGCCGCCGCTGCTTTCTTGTTGGTGATGCGCTTCTTCCTGGGGGGCCTTTGAATGCCTGCTCACGTTGAAGGGTCCACCGCTGCGACCTCCATGTTGCTGCTGAACACACAATTCTGCACTGCTGCCGTGGTCAAGTCCGTGACTTGCTGAACTGCGACAATCTGCTGGTGTAGGGCCCCATGTTCTGCCCACCATGCTGCATATTGGTCCGCGAGATCGTTGCGTATGACCCACACCTCCGGGCCTTCACGGTGCTCCAGCTGTTTGTGGTGCTCCACCAGGTGGAAAAGGGGATGTGGTGCCTGACGATGGCGCCCAGCTCGACTGCAACTGCTGCTTCGCCGTGAGCTGAGAATCGTACCTTCTGTTGCGGAAGTATTGCTCCTCCGGGTCCTGCAACTGCTTCGGCACACCCAATGCGTACTACTGCCCAACTGACTCTCCGTCACCTCGGGTCAATATCCGTGGCCCCGTCCCTGCGCCTCCATGGCCATCCATGGAGACATTGTTCGAATTCCGCCTGGATGCTCTGGTGATCTACTGCCTGGGCTACGGCGGTGATGTGCGCGGCTTTCTGGGCGACCTCTTAAAGGTCTACCTGTTTGGCCCAGATGGGGAGGAATGCCTCGAAACAGGCTGATACGTGCAGCACCGCACGGGGCAGACATGTACACTGCTAGCGCACCAGTCTGCACCCGCACAATTGGGCAAGAAACACGCCCAAACTGGCTCGAGATTGCCTGCCGCGGCCATGCTGCCGATGGGGAGGGAACGACAGACGACGGCGACGACAAAGGGGGGGCATTAGCTGGGCAGCTGTAATTGTGGTGTTCTTCTGTCTCTTGCTCCTTGCCGCGCCTGTGGCACATCTCTTCACCTCCACACGGATGAGCAGGGCCTGTCGTCGCCCGGCTCTGGTCCGGATGCCCCCTGACCTGCGATGGCCTCCAGCAGTGCTGCCTCTGCATGCTGGCCCTTGTTCCTTCGCCTTCGGAGGTGGCGTTGCAGCTGGTAGATGTCTGCTCCATCTTGAAGTCTTCGTCCTCCACGGGACTCAGCTACCTGTCTCGATAAGGTAGCTTGTGCACTTGCCTCCGCCTCCTGGAGACGGACCTCACGTGGTCCTGCTCGTAGGCCCATCGCCCGACGGGCCGAGCCAGCTGTCGAGGCGTACCGGGTCATAGCCGAGGCCCATGAGCTGTGCGATGACTCCTGCCGTCGGGCCCTTGACGTGGTTGGTTGCACCTGTTGTTGGGCTCCAGGGCAAGGAGAGGACAGAGGCGGAGTACACGGCCGCGGAAGGGGGTAGCTGCTCAGCCTAGGTGGAGGAACAGAGGAGCAGCGAGGAACGAGGCAGAGAAACGCCGCGCAAATTGCCCGAAGGCAATTTACTTCTAGACATGAGAGGGCCACGCCCGGTATCAGGCCCAAGGACCCCGAGCCGCTGGGCAGATGGCCCCGCCTCCACCGCCTGAGGCGGGCCTTCTGGGGGCCGAAGAAACCAACCACGTCGCTGATGGTAGTGGCCAGTCCGCCCATTTGCATATCGTGGTCAACAATATGCCAGCCCTCCGTGCTTCCTCCTCCTCCTCCTCAGCAATGCTTCCCCTTCACCTTCCGCCGCATCATCGCCTCCGACCTGCCATGTGGACCCCCAGAACGGTCCCAGGGCATACCGCGATGTCGCAAAAATCGCGTCCCCGCCTGAGCGCGGCTTCGTGGAAGGCATGGTGACCCAAACTTCCGTGAAAAGCATGGTGGCCACCGTGGCCCCACCAGATCCGCGTCGCCGCCTTGGAGACAGGTGGCGTTGCAATTTTGGCAGGCGTCCAGTGATGAAACCACCGCGTGCGGCACCTTCGCCTCCTTGTGCCCAAGACGCACCACTTGGCATCCCAACAGCTCCGCTGGGTGCGCGCGGCGTCCCTGGAACCTGAAGCGCGAAAAGTGTGGTGCCGTTTGGGGCGGACGGGGAACCTCAGGGCAGCGAGACCACGACGATCATGGGATCTCTGGCCCGCTTCGGGGGGGCGAGGGAGGGAGGGAAGGACAGGCGGGGGGGGTGGGGCGGCAGCGGAGGACCCAGACGACCCCCGACGTCATGACTCTCGCATCGGGCGTCGACCCCCGGAGCTCTCGACCCACTCCCCAGGACCGGCGTTGCATCCCGAATCGCTGCTCGACGGACCCGGGGCCCGGCGAGGGCCCCAGAGGCCGAACACACACCCTCGGAAACGCTCCGCCGTGCTGCTGCTCGTGACGCGGCCGGCTCTGCGGGTTGCGAGCGAGGCGACGAGCCTCCCTGTCCCAATAGAGGAAAAAGAACTGTGCACATGCACCGATTCTGGCCAGGCCCATCCTGAGCCCAGGATCGGTGCACACGCCCTCCTACCTTGGCCAGGAAGGCATATGCACCGATCCTGGGTCAAGGATGGCCCAGGCCAAGATCGGTGCATGTGCATAGTTATCTTCGCCCGATCCCAGAGCTTTTGGCTGCCCCGATGGCCTGCCCTCCACAGCCTCGAAGCCGTTCCGCCACCTGCGCGACGAAAAGACAATGGGCTTCACGCGCGACGGCACAGCGACCTCACGCAGCGGCTCACGCCGGCCGCAAGCGTGGCACGCAGCACTAAAGGGGCCCAACACACAGACTACTAGATCTTCGACATGTTCCAAGATTTTCCGGACTGTCGTCTACCCCAGCCGCTTCCAAGACTTGCCTACCTGCTTCTGGACTTCGACGTTTCTTCGTGTCCGTGTCTTTTTCTCTCTCGGTGCACTGGAGACGAGGGCGCTTACGCGCCACCCTACGCGGACAACGTACGCGCGACCGTCCTCCCACTCGACCCCGCTTGCTTCCGTGGCTCACCTGTTGGCGGGGCCGAAGTCAGGCATGTCGTCCCTCAGCGTGCCCCTGCGGTCCCCGAAGGGTGCGCCCCGCACCTCTTGCGCGCCGGAGGAAGAGAGGTGAGGCCCACACAAGTCCAGACAGAGGGGCGAGCGAGGGGGGGAGGCGGCGAGGAGGGAGGAGGAAGGGGAGGAGGAGGGGCAGGAGGAGGAGGAGCAGGAGGGGGGGAGGGAGGGAGGGGGAGGGGAGGGAGGGAGGGAGGGAGGGATGGAGGAGGAGGAGGAGGAGGAGGAGGAGGAGGAGGGGGAGGAGGAGGAGGAGGAGGGGAGGGGGAGGAGGAGGAGGAGAAGATGGAGGATGAGGAGGAGGAGAGAATGAAGGAGGAGGAGAAGGAGAAAAAGGAGGAGAGGATGGAGGAATGGAGGAGGAGGATTGAGGAGGAGGAGGAGGAGGAGGAAGTGGAGGAAGTGGGGGAGGAGGAGAGGATGGAGAAGAAGGACGGGGGAGGAGGAGGAGGAGGAGGAGGAGAGGATGGAGGAGGAGGAGGAGAGGATGAAGGAGGAGGAGGAGGAGGAGGAGGAGGAGGAGGAGGAGGAGGAGGAGGAGAGGAGGAGGGAGGGAGGGAGGAGAAGGACGAAGAGGAGGGCTTCTTGATGTGCTGTTCCGGTTCCTGGTGCCGTCCCCCGAGAAAGAGGGGGCGCTGGCATCGCCGTGGGGCCACGCCGGCCGCAGATCCTCGGCCCAGAAGCTCTGCCAAACGTTAGGCCGGGCATGTCCCCCCTACAGGCGGATTTTGGAGGACGAATGAAAAGTGGTAAAACTAATGGTCCAAAGTAGCCAACACAAATATTCAAAACACCGTCCCCATACTTAGACAAGAACTATTGTTTTATGAAAAATGAAACATAGTACAACGAAATCTCAGAGGTAGCAAGAACAAATATTAAACAACTCGTCGCCAGACTTTTTTATATGAATTTTGAATAGTCCTCCTGCAGAGGAACAGGCCCGACTTAAGCCAAACGTCTGGCCCACGTTCCGACGTGAAGACAGGCTTGGGCTGGGGGCACGTGCGCGCCACACACGTGCCACGCGTGCCGCACGCGCGCGAAAAGCAAGCACTGAGAGGCAACTACCAGAAGGTCTGGGTCAGAACAACGCAGAGCTATGAAACCCGTTTGGGGGACCACGAGTTAAGCCAGATTCCACGGGATTGCGCCGGATGAAGCGGCGGTTAACCAGACGAGGCAAGTGTTTGACCAGGGGGTTACGAGAGCCGATTCTATGGGGACAACAAGCCATCACAACCACATCGAGGACACGATACCAGTTTCGTACTGGTCGTGGTCGATGTGGCGTCCGAGCGCGAACAAATCGCCGATAACCACAACTGGAGTGCTCGTGTCGAGGTAGGTGGTTTCTTTTCCGAGGGGCCCGCCAGAAATTCCCCTCAGTTGAGGTAGTGGCTCTTTGCTATTTGGCGGCGCACACAAGGGGGTATGAAGAGGGGGGTAGGCTTCTTAAAAGGAAACTGCTTCTTAGAAGGCGCCGGCCTACATCTACAGACAAGCGCCGCGCCTTCTGAAAAGCAGAGGTGTTCCTAAGATGCCTTCCCCACTCCCCCCTATACCCCCCCTCTGCGCGTGGCTGAGCTGTGCCCAGAGATTCAGGCTTCAACCTCCCAGGAGCGGAGTGCCAGCAGGCGCACGGGCCGCACCTTGCACCAGCGAGGGGAGGGGACGGGCTCAAACTGCTCTTCCCGAACCGTCGGGTGCTCAGACAGCGGGCGCACCCTAAGGTGTCGGCGGCGAACGACGGGGGGAAGTGAAAAGGAGCAGGCCTTCTCAGAAGGCGGCGGGGTTTATCAGAGGCCCTCGCGCCTTCCGAGACAGTGCCCGAGTCTTCGGGAAGAACCAACAATTGGATAACTTTTCAGAAGGCCCGGGAACTTCCGAATCTTCTGAGAAAACCCGCCCCTGCTCAATTCCCCCCCCGGGCTCGCCGCCGAAGGGATCCGTGAAGCTGGCGCGTGGCCGCCAAGTCCGCGGATCAGGGAAGGCGCCCACGTCACAAAAGGCCAGTGTGGCCTGATGTGGCGACGGACTGCGCCGATTCCGCTTGGTAGCGGGACCCGTCGATAACCCACGCGCCCTTTCACTACGCGGCCCACGGCCCCGGAAATCCCGACACTTTCTCGATCGCCAGTCTTTCATGCACAATACTTGTTTTTTGACGGTCCAAAAATCATGCCCCACAAAGGCCCCCAAAGGTCGAAACAATTAGGAAACATTCCGTCCCGCTTTCTTCAAGACGGATGCACGTTTGGGTCAATGTCTGGGCTTCGTTGGGAAAACCGACGGGAGAATAAGTGCATACACGTAAACTTTCAAGGTCCGCGCGAATTTGTTGGATCAGCGCTGGTTCCCCTCCCTGGCGCGCGGAGCTCGCCAGGGGCGGCGCCGGAGGCGCCGCCGGGGGGGCCCGGCGCAAATCCAAGAAATCTGCGCGGAGCGCCAACACCTTTCTGCGTTGGCCGTTGCTTTTTCTCCGCGAGCGCGGCGGAAGAACCGTCGTGACTACAGGCGGGGCAGCGGAGGGGCCTGGCCCTCTTGGAAGGTTCGCGCGGCAACGTGCGATGGGGCGCGCAGACACATACTAGTACTAGGTGTCCTCCTCGGAGGCGCGCTTCCGACCCGAACATATCGTACACCCATCTTCTAATGGATGTCCAGGAAACGTCCGCCACGACGCAAATACTAGTAAGATTTCTCGGTGCGCGCGTCGCCCGTGGGGTGGACACAGACGCATAGCATTTGCAGGTCGATGGGGCGCCGACGAGACCCGATTCGCGTCGGATCTACGGCGGGTTTACGTCGGATGTGCGCCAAACTTGCGAAGAAACATCAGCGCGCGAGCGTCGACCCTTACCTTACGGAACGCACGTGCGGACTGGATAATACAAGTATTGCGTACTTAGCGAGGCCTCAAGGATTTTCCTCGTAACCGGGCTGCTCCGACTCCCCCTCCAAAAAACGAACATGTTCTGACCATGCTCACGCACAAAGAGCTTGACTGCGCACTGTACTCCCAAAACCCCGCCGCCACGATTCGATATACAACGTCGACCCCAGAAGATGCCTCGAACAATTCCGTGGGACCGGTGTCTCGCTCCGGGTCTCTCATGGCCGGTCTCGAGGCCTGGCAGGGGTTCCTAGAGGCAGAAAGTCGCGAAACACTGTCCGCGGTGATTGTTTCATGGCTTTTTTAACAAGCGCGCTCCAACGACATGCGCAGCCGCAGGCGCCCGGGGCGGCGCCTGGTTCAGTTAGGCACCTTTGGCAGTTGCGCGATGCGGCGCGCAGCTACCGCAGCGAATTCTGCTGCGTTGGCCCCAACGCAGCGCAAGTTGCCGAGGAGCAGCAGCGCCTGCCCTTTCGCTGGCAGCTCGAAAGGGTCTGGGTATAGTGCCTGGGGTCCTGGCCACGGCTTCCCTGGCCTGGCGTGGAGCCCCACGGCCCCGCGGGCCGCTCGGTCGACACAACCACGGTAAGGCCCGCATCCGTGCAGAGCTGGGCGAGGGAGGACGAGGAAGGGCCAGAGGCCGATCCTCACTGGCTGATGCCCCTGGGTGCGTGGCTGAAGTAGGGACCCGTGGTGAAAATTATGCTTTGCTGCGTTGATGTTGCTATTGTTGTTGTTGTTGTTGTTGTTGTTGAACATTATTAATTCTAAAGAATAATTATTGTTGGGGCCCCTGGTGCACGGCCCCCCCGCCGCGCCTAGGCCGCAGCTACATTTTCATCATTTTTTCGCGAAAGCTTCAGAAAAGTGGATGGGGTCCAGATCCGGTTGTTTTGTTGTAATCCGTTTTCCCTTGCAACAAACACTATAACATGACATTTCTTGTTCTAATATAATCAAATTTCAAGAATCCCTTGCAAAAAATAAGGTAAAGTGGACATTCGCGCGCGCAAGACGAAATCCTTCCAAAAGCTTAGTGTTCGGAGCGATTTTAACATAAAAACATCAAAAAACCAATGGTTTTTCAACAAAAAAACGTCAAAATCTCATCCCGCGCGCTCTTGCGGATTCGTAGGAAAACCAACACTTTTTAAACATTTCTGTCAAACGGGCTTTTGCGAGCAACTTTTTCGAACTTCTGCGACAACGGTTGCGCACCTGCCAGGGCCATCATCCCTGTCAAATAATACCATGCGGGACACATTCGTTTTTTCTTCGCGCGCGCACGCCGAAATCTCCAAAAACCATTGGGTTCTTAAGAATTTTAGCACCGCGCATCATAAAATCACACGAATCGCACCGTAGGTCCTCGAAAAACACCTGCACGACTTTTCAAAATTTCCACCCGCGCGCGCTGTCCGAATCCTAAAAAAACCAATGGTTTTCCAACATTTATGTTACATGAGCTCGCGCGAGCTACTTTCGCACGCTCTTGCAACGGGGTTCGCGCGCCTGCCAGGGGCCATAATCCCTTGCGGTTGCGCCATAGGTTGCGCCCTCGGCCGCCGAGAATAAAACGCCCCCCTATTGGTTGCGCCATAGGTTGCGCCCTCGGCCGCTGAGAATAAAACGTCCCCCTACTGGTTGCGCCATAGGTTGCCCCAGGAGGCCTTCAAGAGGCCCCAAGAGCCCGCCGTGAGGACCCAATAAGCCCCCAAGAGGCCCCACACTATCAAATGTAACAGAGTTGTGTATTCCCATCATCCCAGGAACTTGACCCAAAAATGTGACCAACTCCGCTCTCTCTGTCTCTCTCTCTGTCTGCTCTCTGTCTCTCTCTCTGTCTCTCTGTATTATGTATTGTATGGCACAATTGCACCATGCTGGGCACATGCGCGCCCCGAATAAGTGACCAAGTTCTGTGGGTGTGTACCCCACGCCAGTGTAGTAGCCACGGTCGTCCGCACGCCACGAAGTGAAGTGTCCCAACGTCATAGGGCGGGAAGCTGGGTTTGGGTGGTCGCGAAGAGTCGTTTGGATATTTGGTAGAGCTTGTAATGCCCCCCCACGAAGTGGGGGTATTGCCTGGTGTCGTATGAAAACCCTGGCACTGGGGAGAACACCACGCGTTCGGGTAAAATGATTGTTGTTGTTGTTGTTGTTGTTGTTGTTGTTGTTGTTGTTGTTGTTGTTGTTGAATACTCATTTCTAAAGAATAATAACTGTTGGTCTCCAGAAACGGTTCCGCGCGCTCTCGCATCGACGCCGGCTACATGTTCTCTGAAAACGAGGCGCCAGCTCGAGCGCTGGCTTGAGCCTGAATTGGGCCCTTGGAGGCCCAGCTACTACAACAACGGCTCCCGCTCGATACTTCGTCACAATTTAACCCGAAGCACCCTGGCCAAAGAGGCCCCTGAACTCAGGAACGGCTCTCTCGCTCGAGACCTCCTCGCAATTCAGTTCAGTTGGTGGAGGCCCAGCCACGACGACAAGGGCTCCTGCCTGATATTTCCTTACGATTTACTCCGAGAGCCCCTGGCCAAGAGGACCCCCTAACTCGAGGACCCCCGTAATTCAGGCAAGGCGATGGAAGCCCGTCCACGGCGACAAGGGCTCCCGTGCGATATTTCTCCATAGGTATTCCGAGAGCCCCTGGTCAGAGAGGCCCCCGAACTCAGGAACGGCGCTCTCGCTCGAGACTTCTTCGCACTTCAGTCAATGGCCGACACGGAAGAGATTCCCCCCGAAAGGGGGTGCAATCGAAGACGAAGTGGGCGGGTATCGAGGGTTGGGGTATACGGAATGCAAGACACACGTGCCAGTAAGAGCGAACAAATGTTAAATGAGTGTTGTCATTTTTGTTGTGTGTTTGTTTGTTTGTTTGTCTGTCTGTTTGTTTGTTGTTTGTTGTCGTCGTCCCACCCGCGACCCACCCGCGATCCACCCCGCGACCCACCCCGCGACTCACCAGCGACCGACCCCGCGACCCACCCGCGACCCACCTGCGACACACCTGCGACCCACTCCACGACCCACCCGCGACCGACCCCGCGACCAACCCCGCGACCCACCCGCGACCCACCCGCGACACACCCCGCGATCCACTCGCGACCCACCCGCGACCCATCCCGCGACCCAACCCGCGACCCACCCGCGACCTCTCTTAAACTGCCGACGTCCCCACAGCCCCCTCACTCTTATCCGCATCTGCGGGGTGCTACGTGTGTATACATACATACATACATACATACATACATACATACATACATACAAACATACATACATACATACATACATACATGCACACACAGGCGCCCTCCGAGTGCAGGTACCTTCAGGGATGGCGGCGGCGTAAAAAGTCGCTGGCTCGCAGTGGTGATTTATACACCGCCACCCTCCCCTGAGGACCAGGAGCAATCCATTGCAGGATGTCTGTATACATAAAACTATAATGTTTATTTATATCTATACGTATATGAATACATATATATATATATATATATAAAAATGTGTGTGTGGCGGTTACTCCCGCGGTCTCCGCTGCCCCAGTGCACCTGCAGCTGGAGCCCCTCCTGACAGGCGAACACGTGCGCTAGGGTCAGGTCCTCCCGCAGCTCCTGTAGAGGCCTTTCAGGTGGGGTCGGCGCAGATGGGGTTGAAGGATCGCGCCGCATCGCCGACGTCGGCCATGCAGCGGTGCCGTCGGCGTGAAGAACGTCGTCGTACACATCGAGCCGCATCGGCATCGCCGATGCATCGGCGATGTTGCGCGATCCTCCGACCCCATCTGCTCGGACCCCCCTGGGAGGCCTGGCTCCTGGCAGCACTGGTAGTGGTAGTCGCGCAACGCCAGCAGGATCTGCCGTGCCCAGTGGTGGAACAGCGGCTGGCCCTCCCGCAACGGCCCCGCAAGCGCCACCAGGCTCCTCTCCAGGGAACGACGTCGTCGTTGTTGTCGTTGTCGTCGCCTTCCGTCGTCGTCGTCGTCGTCGTCGCCGTCGGCGTCGTCGGCGTCGTCGTTCGTCGGCGTCGTCGTCGTCGTCGTCGTCGGAGCGCCGCCAAGTGCGGACGCTGCCGCACGCAAGAGAAACCCATCCCTGAAAGCCCGCAAGCGCGAGGTGCAAGTGGGGGGAGCCCCAAGCACCCTGAACGCACAAGCTCCCTCAACGGCCGCGGAAGTTACCGCGCAGCGCGCGGAGCGAAGAACCGAGGGTACCCTGACAAACAACATGCGTTTACTTCATGCAAGTCCGCGCTTTACTCCGCGGACCTCTCCTGGGGTGCGTTCTGACCAGAGCTCGACCTGAAAAGTGGTTTCCGTGTTCCTTTTGTGTTGGCTGCACCTCGCTCTGTCTTCGTTCCGCCTCCGCTGCAGAACGAAATCAAAACGCGGAACCGGCCGAAGACATCGGCAAAGCACCCCCACAGGCCGAGCCCTGGTTCTGCTCAGCGCATCGGGGAGAACGCAGCCGTGGCTACGACAGGTATCCAGGACCAGTGACTAGCAGCGGTGTTGGTACCTTTCCCTCCTCCGATCCTCAGGTTAACGCCACGCGCCCGGGGAAAGAAATGCAGGCCCGCGCCCCGGCAAGACGCCAGGTCGCAGCCGAGGTAATCCGGGAAGAAGTGGGAGAGCGTCAGCTGCCTCCCGGCGGCGAGCGAGGGGGAGAAGTGAGAAGGAGGAGGCCTTCTCAGAAGGCGGCGGGGCTCCTGAGAAGCCCTCTGGCCTTGTGAGAAGTTTGCCGTGTCCTCGGGAAGGCTCCGAAAATTTCTCAGACGGCCAGGGTGCGCCTCCATTCTCTTCCTCCCTTCCTCCTCCTCTGTCCTCCTCCCTGACTCCTCCTCTATCCTCCTCCCTTCCTCCTCCTCCTCCTCCTCCTCCTCCTCCTCCTCCTCCTCCCTTCCTCCTCCTCCTCCTCCTCCTCCTCCACCTCATCCTCCTCCTCCACCTCCTCCTCCTCCTCCTCCTCCTCCTCCTCCTTCTCCTCCTCCTCCTCCTCCATTCCTGTTCCTTATACAAAACTTCTCCCTTTCGCACCCCGAGGCCAGTTTTTAAGGCGGGCTGGGCGTTTCCCCTGAGACTTCCTCACCAGTTATGCCGCCGAAGCTAAAAAAACAGTTTCACAGATGGAGGGCGGGTCGTTTTCGGAATGTGGCTCTCGCTTTAGCGCCGCGCACATTCGTTTTAAACATCTGGTAGAACTTCACGGATGGGGGGCGGGTCGTTTTCAAACTGTGGCTCTCGCTTGGCGCCGCGCACATTCGTTTTAATTATTTGCAAGAACGACGGATGGAGGGCGGGTCGCTTTCAAACTGTGGCTCTCGCCGTAGCGCCGCGCACATTCGTTTTAATCATTTGCTAGAATTTTACGGATGGAGGGCGAGTCGTTTTCAAACTGTGGCTCTCGCCTTAGCGCCGCGCATACTCGCTCTAAACATTTGCAAGAGCTTCACGGATGGAGGGCGGGTCGTTTTCAACATGTGGCTCTGGCCCTAGCGCCGCGCATACTCGCTTTAAACATTTGGACCATATTCACGGATTGCGGGCGGTTCCTTTTCAAACTGTCGCTCTCGCATTGGCGCCGCGCATGTAACATTTGGAATCATTTGGAAGAGTTTCACGGATTCCCATGATCAGCGTACCAGGAATGGTGCATTGGAAGGATTTAGGGTCATGAGGGTGCATCAGTTACGTTGATTCGCGGTGTTGAAGTCCCAGGAATGGCCTTCTAGCACGCGTCAACATCGTCAAGACACAACAATCAGGTTGACCCGTGGCGTTGAAGTCCCGAGAACACTGCTTTGGCATGCTTGAGGGTGTTCAAACGGTTGTCTTCCAACGAGGCAGTTCCCTCAGTGGAGATGAAGCGTTGTAGGGCCTATGAAGAGGGATCTTGGAGGGACGGTTCATTCCAACATCGTTGGTAACTCTTGGGTTTACACTGGTCCTCCTCCTCCCTCTCCTCCTGCTACTCCTCCTGCTCCTCCTCCTCCTCCTCCTCCTCCTCCTCCTCCTCCTCTCCTTGCCCCTTCCCCCTCTTCCCCCTGGCCCCTTTGGGGGGGCTCCCCAGCCTTCTCGGAAGGCCCGCCCCCTCTCGCTTCGCCCCCCTGGGCTGGCCGCCGAGCCTCAGCGCCTCGACCTGGTGCATCGCGTCCTCGGCGGCGCCCGCGTACTCCTTCCCCGGCGGGGCGCGGCAGGCGCCGGGGCGCCCAGGGGCGGCGCTCCCCTTCTCGGACGCAGGGCGGCGACCGCTGCAATCCGAACACCGCAGGCCAGGCACATCTGGGGCCCAGGATCGGGGCATGCGCTATCCTGACCAGAACTGGGAAGGGGGGGGGGCAGGTGTCGGCGACACGCAGGAGTGGCCCTGGGTAAGAGTGATCCTTGGTGCGCGGCTCTTTGGGGGTCACGGAGGGACCAAGCACAAGCGCGCAAGACGCTACTATCGTATTGCGCTCGGCGATCGGGGGACCCCAATGGGCCCGCACCAGAAGTCACTCAGGCGAAGGCTAACACTCGTACGTGTAGTGGAACAACGAGGTATCGCTACAGTTACTCCCCGGACCTCTCCCAGGGTGCCATCTGACCAGACGCTCGTGGATACTCCAGCCATGGCGACGAGGACTCTCGAGGATGAGCAGCGGCATCGGTATCTTATCCTCCTCTGGTAAATATAAAGGCGTGTGCACCGATCTTGGGCCTAACATGGGCTGGGTCAAGATTGGTGTAAATGTATAGCTGTCGCCGTCCGGTCGGAGGCCTCCTAGCATGGCAGGAGAGCTTCCAGGAGGCCGGGGTGCCATCTTGGGAGGGCCGCCCTAGCTCGCGCCCCGGAGCATCGTCTAACCGATCCCGATCCCCACCAGCATGGCCTTGGCCCCCCTGGCCGATTTACCCCCTAGATGCAGATATAGGCTGTTCCCTTCGGGTTTCGAGAGGCAGACCCCAAACTCGGGGGCTGGGATGGCAGGCCTGAGATGCCGCAGCCTAGTGGAGATGGAGGTCGTTTAAACGATACTGACCTTCGGTGGCAACTCACGGGAGCATCCCATACAATTCTTGCTGGCTCTTGCAAATCGACGCATCGACGCTGACCGACGCCAATCGACGCTCATCGACGCTGAATCGACGCTGGTCGTCGCAAAATCGACGCTAATCCTCTTCCTCCTCCTCCCCCCCTCCTCCTCCTCCTCCTCCTCCTCCTCCTCCTCCTCCTCCTCCTCCTCCTCCTCCTCCCCCGCCTCCTCCTCCTCCTCCTCCTCCTCCTCCTCCTCCTCCTCCTCCTCCTCCTCCTCCTCCTCCCCTCCTCACTGGCACACGCGAATGCACTCTCGAGACGGACTTGCGAGGACGCGCTAGGCTCCCGTGACATGCTGCCGAACGATACGTAACCCCCCACCCCGTTCTGCACACCGCCGACCCTCGCGACGTCCCACGGCAACTCCAGCACCTCGCCAGCAGGACAGAAACGGGTCCTGAGATGGCTACCTACCATACCATCCCAGCCCAACCCGAATACAGTCGGACTTGATTGGAAAGGACACGCGAGAGGACAGGAGACTTCCGAGGGCCACACTGCCATAGGAATGCGAGAAGGTATGGGTCGTGAGGCACAGGACACAAGGCCACCCTTGATCTGGCAGGGTCGACCTACCAACCAGGGCCGACTGTATCCAAATTTCGGGTTGGGGGGCGTACGGATTCCATATGCGTCTTTACGCAATGTTCCAGGACGCCCCCCCACTGGCAATGGAAGCGCCTTGGGGCCTTCGAACTGGGCTGGGGTGGTTTGGTGGGTAGCGATGAGGGAAACGGGACCTGGACCCCAGGCCCTCTCGCGTCATGAACACTTCGCGATGGACGGCTTTCGCTAGCTCTCGGCCTCCGGGGGCGGCTCCTGCGCCCCGCGGGCCGCCAACAGCTGACTCCTGGGATGCCCATCCGGCCCACGGGCCGAGACCCAGACCTCTCGGGGCCCATGCCGTGAACAAGAAAGCACGACGCGCATGGCCTGGGACCCCGGGGCCTTCCCGCGGGACCAGCTTGCTCCAAACTTGAAGGCTTTCACGTGTCGGGCCCTGGGAGGCGATACTCGTTCGACACTGCTTCGGCACTATTCTGGGTGCTCGCCATTGTTTCTGGGATGTGATCCTGAAGTACGATGGGAGCAACATAACCTCAGGCGGCTCCGTTTCCCTCAGAATCGGACTTCCCAAGTGGCATCCGAGTCCGGATCGCGCCGCATCGCCGATGCACTGGCGATGCATTGACGACGTCAGCAATGCACCTCGGCGCCATCGGCGTGGCGAACAGTCGGATCCACATCGAGCCGCACCGCCGATACACCGGCGATGCGAAACGACCCTCCAGATACATCTTCTCGGATCCCATCTGGGAGGCCTGGACAGGACCCGCTTCTTCCCAGGCGGACCTCGATCTCCTCTGAGGAACCGACGGCCACAGCCCGGAAGCGCCGCAGGCCCCAGTCCGTCCGCTCAATAACCACCTCTGGCATACCCGAAATGAGCACTGACAGAAATAAGCGGTTCCCAACAGAAAGCATGACATCGGGGAAGTTGCGGAAAAAATGGGACGCTGCGAAAACATGTTGGCCCGAATGGACTCCATACTGCAACTTCTTGCAGTCCATGCGGCACAGTGTAGGGCAATCCATGTGGTGCAATCCAATGCAAACCAAAGCAAGCCCTGCAACGCACTGCAACGCAACGCAAAGCAAAGCAATGCAAACTCGCGGCGGCGACGGGCGGCGACCCAACAGGCGGCGGGCGGCGGCGACGGGCGCGAGCGCGCGATCCAACAGGCGGCGGGCGGCGACCCAACAGGCGACGGGCGGCGGCGACGGGCGGCGACCCAACAGGCGGCGGGCGGCGGCGACGGGCGGCGACCCAACAGGCGGCGGGCGGCGGCGACGGGCGGCGACCCAACAGGCGGCGGGCGGCTGGCCGAACCGCCACCCAGGCCCAACAGGCGGCGGGCGGCGGCGACGGGCGACGAGCCAGCCGGACGGCCGCCCAGGCCCAGCTCCTCGAATAGAACTACGAACACCTGAACGCAAACAGTGTGAGGGGAATGTACGTCGTTCAAGATGGATAGCAACTGGGCCGTGCAAGATGGACAGCAACTGCATGCCGTCGTCTCCGCATGCGCTCTTTTCGTACGCATCTCGATCGCACTTGGAGGCGGCTGGGGGATCTGGATTGGATGGGCCTCGACAAAATCTGCCAAGAAAGAGAGGTGAGGGCAAATCCGCTGAAAATCGATCCCCGGCCCCTCCCAGGGTCCATCTGGTGTAATTTTCACCCTGGATCCGTTTTTGACGGTGCACTGGGGCCCGAAAACGACCCTGGAGATCGAACGAGGCAGAACAACTTGTCAAACAAAGGTATCTCGAATCCGCATCCCCCCTTCTCGCTGGCAACAACATGTGCTGGGCCACCTCTCTCCCGAGCCCGTTCTCATATTCTTCGTGATCACGCCCGTGACGGGCCCCCCGCCTCCCTTCCCCCCCCCTCGGTCACGTCACGATCCGCGCCGGCATGCTCCCAAACAGACGCTGGCACGAATCGTGCCGTGACTGGCCCCCTTCCCTTCCTCCCTCCCCCCAGTCACGCCCAGCATTGACAGGGGACAGGACTAGCGATGGCCCTGGCCACCTCGGACCCCCAGCCGGCTCTAGGCTCGAACGGACCGGGAGCAAGGCGAAGCGGCATCACCACCACCAGAGATCCCCGGCGGGAGGAGCCAGCGGGGGCCCCCGTGGTGGTGAGGTCCCCTCCTCTCGACCGAGACGGCCCCTGCCCTCTGCTCGGGGAGGCATCGAGGAACTCCTCGCTCGAGGTGGCCTCCCTTGGTGGTGGTCGTGCTGCTCCACTGCTCCCCTAAGTAGGGAAACAAACTCTATACACCGACGCTTTTCCCGGCCTTGCGCTGAAATTCGCACAGGAACGCGGATTCTGGTGTATACGGGATCCTGGTGTATACATTTGTCGTTGTTTCCCTTGGGCAACGGGGGAAACATATACACCACACCACCCCGACGTCGTCCCTGACCCTTACAAAAAAAGGGGGCTTGAAACACAACCCGCCACTGGTAATGTATGTTCCAGTTCCCGACCAAGGTCCGACTTTGCGAAAATAATTAGCAGCAAGGAAAAAGCACGACCAGAGCACTGGATCCCATAGTTCTGCGGCATCATTCCAGCCAGACCTATCTGTGCTGGCCCTGGGGCCCGAAGCGAGGCAACATCGCCAGGTGTGAAAACACTGCACCGCCAAGACCGAAGTGAAACACAAATGAGAAAAAACGGCATAGGCATAAGCTTTTGGCACTCCGCGCAGATTTCTTGGATCTGCGCTGGACCCCCCCTCCCTGGCGCGCGGAGCCAGGGGCGGCGCCGCAGGCGCCGCCGGGGGGGCCCAGCGCGGATCCAAGAGATCCGCGCGGAGCGCCAAAAGCTTGTGCGTAAATATGTTGTTTTTGATCTTCGGGTCAGGGCCCTCCGATCGTCGGGGGCGGCCAAGAGGGGGGCGTCCAAGAGGGGGGGGGCGCAAATCATGGCTGGCGGCACGTGCGCGGCCCAGGAGGTGGGGGCCGGGACGCATTGAAACAAGAAGAGGCGCCGTGAGATCTGGGGAGATATCATGGTCCCCGCCATGATATCCCCCCCTAGTCATCACCCCCCTCTTTGCCGCCCCCGACGATCGTGCCGACCACCTCGCGCGCGGGCAGCACGGCGCCGGGCACGCGCAGCTCCCGCAGGCGCCGCTCGATCTCCGGCCCCTGCACCCACTGGAACTCCTCGGGCGTCTCGGCCCACGGGGCCGGCTCCGCGCTGGCAGGTCCTGCGCGCAGGGGCGGGGGCCCGCGCAACCATGCTGCAGCGTCAGACCCATCGCTGGCCCCTTTCGGGGGACCGCATCTGTCCCATCGCGTCGCGACTCGCGCCGGATACGCGTCGAAAGCACATCGAAACCGCGTCGAATCCACGTCGGATCCTTGTCGAATCCACGTCGGATCCGCGTCGAATCCACGCCGAGCCCGCGGCGGATGCAAGAAAAGACCGCCATCATGATTGGACAAGGGAGGTCCCCCGAATATGACATGTAGCAGGCACCCTCGAGACCCGAGCGCCGGAGCTTTTGCACACTGGGCGTTTTCGCACAGTTTCAGGCCCCAGGACCGTCTCAGATCGAGCCGGCTCGAAAAATGCAGTCTGTAGGGTCTAGGGCTCTGGTCGTGATTTTCCGCGATGTTGCACTTCTGTTCGCAACGTCGAGGCCCAGAGACCACGCACGATGCCCGGCCAGGGCCATCGGCATGTTGAGAGCGCCCTCCTGGCCGAAGGCAGGATTGCGCACACACCATCATAGGGGCAAGGGATGGCCCTGGCCTGTCATGGCGGTTTTCCCTGACATGCCCCGATGGGAATGTTTCAATCCCCGGCCTCAGAGGTCCCAACCGTCTCCCTGTGCCCAAAGTTTCGCACCTGACTTGTTCCAGGAAAAAGGCTTCGCTTGAGGACTTGCACGGTTGCAGAAAAAGCACAGAGGAGTCCCACACAGGGGGACGGGAGCCCTAGATCGCTCGGCCCCGCAGCCGCTTCGTCTGAAGCGATTAGCCACCCCCTCCTGGCACGTTTTCACTCGACGATCTCCTGCTCCTCGATCCGCCTCGTCAACTTTGCTGCCTTTCGGGTTACTTACTAAAGCAATTCGCCCCAACTCCATGTTTGGTCCCGGCGCCCGATAACTGGAACTTAGAGCTTCAGTCTGAGGAAAGCGACGGGATTGAACAAAATACAAAAACAAACCACCTCAATAACAGCTAAGTCGAAGAGGCGGGTCGAGGAGCTAGTGAAAACGTAGATCTCTGGGCATTCCCATGGAATCTTGGGAGGACGGATGAAGCCGAGACGGGGGTGAGAGCACTGCTATGCGCACCTCAGCGTATCCTATGTCTATTGTACAAAAGATCGTGGCCGTCCAGACTCAAATGTAGCCCGCAATGAAGCGAGAGCACGGCTCTCCAATGAATTGCGAAGACGGCTCAGGCTCAGGCGAACGGCTGCTGAACCGGGCGATCTAGGGGTCCCGGTGCCCCCTGTGGTACTCTTCTGTGGTCCTCTTTACCTCTCAAAGGAACCCTCCAGCGAAACGCGACTAGGAGAAAAAAATCCCAGCAGAGCAGCTGCAGTGCGGAACTAAGCATTTTAGGCGAAAAATGCTCCAAACCACACTACGGATACTTTCCAAGACTCTACGGATGTGATGGTCCCAGCGCCCTCGAGGTCATACCGTCGGAGGTCTAGGTAATTATGGATACCGTCTGCGGAGGTCCCGCGGCTGCCACGCCGTGGAACGCCACCGAGCGCCGCTCGGCGTCCGTGCGCCGCAGCTCCCGGATGCTGTCCAGCGTCCACCGCAGGTTCTCCGCGACGACGTGCTCGCACTCGCCGAGTAGCACCTGGTACGTGTACAGCTCTCGCTGGCTCAGCTTCTCGAGGCCACGCATGGCCAGAGGTACAAGACGCGGCACAAGCA